AAACAGGAGTCTGCATAGGTTCCGGTGTTGTCTCTGTGCTGAGCAACATTTTTCTCGGAAGGATTGACATGCAAGCGGCACAAAGTTTATTGTGCTTAGCCACAAACATTGTTCGGTACGTAGATGACTTTCTAGTGCTCATCAGGCCAAATCTTCTGGAGAAAAGTGAGAACAAAATTTTTAAGGTGTTTAATCAATATGGATGTGGACTTAACTTTACAGTTGAACTTCCAAAGAATGACGAAATCCAGTTTCTAGATTTAAAACTGCACCGTGAACCTAACCACATATGCTGGGCGTATATGCCACGCTCAAAAAAGCCCTTACTAAACTTTAACTTAGGGCATTCTAAAATTGTTAAAATGGGAATAGCTATGTCTGCTCTGAGTTCCGTCATTAAAAATTGTGCTCCTATAAAATGACAAAAAGTTTCTTAATTCAGCTTGAAAGATTGAGCAACGCTGGCTTCCATCAGCCCGTCCAACGCAAGGGGCTGCGCAGAAGTTGCTTAAAAAAGTAAAAACGGAAGACCAAGAAAATGAGAAAATAAAGGAACCAGTTAAAAAGCCCTCTGTCATCCACTACATGCAGAGGCTGTCACATGGTATAAAAAACGTTGCAAATCGATATGACGTTGAGGTAGTTTTCTCGGCCCCAAACAAATTAAACAAGCTTTGTAGCAGAATAGGTAGGAAACTAGCGCAAAATGCTAAGGGTCGAAAACGGGGCGTATGCAATGTGAATCATAGGCAGTCGTATGTTACGTGTGAAACAGGTCTTGTATATTTGGTACCTTTGTCCTGTGGTCTCATCTACATAGGCCAGACGGGAAGATTTGTAAATACCCGGTTGCAAAAACATTGGAGATCGTTGAACACCAATGATAGTTCACCCTTGCCCAAACATTGCAGCTCGTGCGATTGCAAACCCTTTTTTTGTGATGCTATTGTTTTATCATAACACCCAGATCGAACCACCAGAGAGCTGATAGAGGCGTTTCACATTAGAAGTGAGAATAAATACGTAAGCGCACCCTCCATCACGTTAACAGAAAAAGAATTTTCATACCTTATGAGCAATCTCATGACCTGATCTGAGACACGTGTTTTATAGTCCTTTTTTTTTTTTTTTTTTTTTTTTGCTGTTTCACTTGCCGGGTCATGCGACAGAAGTGGTTTATATGTATCTACCTTTCTTTCGAATAAACTTTAGTTGCGAGGTAGGCGCTCTTGGTCTGTCCAATTTCCTGTTCTAGTGTCCTTGTCTGAGTGCACACCCTTATACAGTTAAATGATGAACCAATATTAACTAGCCCAATTATCCGTGCTACTGCAACCCACTCGTCACGCAATTCGCATTGTGTTATGCCTGGTTGTTACTTCTCTGTTCTATGATGTTTTATTACACATGTTAACGCAATTCCTTACTTGACATAAATCTGGCATATATAGGGTGAGTTTGCAATGGAACTTCAAGCGCAGGCATAGCTCAGTGAAAAGTACTGGGTTTCCACGCAGATGGCTCTGGTTCTGTTCCCATTTCGTGCTCAATATCCTTTTTATTTAAGTTTTTTTATATTTCACGCGATAGTGGTAACAGAAACCGGCAGCTGCAACAAATACAGTGCCAGAATCGGCCTTTGTGATCACATAACAGCCTTGGCTGTAAACCCTGTTGGTTCTTGGTGAATTACCCAGTGTAGGTATGAGCCACAGTTTCTATGGTATACACTGCTCTACAGAATCTTGACCTGACTGAACCCAGCAGCCGCTACCGCTCCGCTACGTCGGCATCTTAATAAAGCTGCATCGAGGTCGCTTGCTAAGCAAATGTGCTCTGCAGCGAGAAAAAGCCCGCATTCCTTTTGACAGAAATAAAAGAGAGAGAAAAAAAGCTTTAGCGTTATTCGAACTCATGTCATTGTGTGTTTCATGCCGGAATCGAGGAGTTAAAAGAATATAGTACCGCCTAATGGCGTCCGTGACCTGCAGAAATGGCGAGCAGATGTCTGCTATCGTGAAATAACCTAAAACAACTCGTAATTTTAAAGAAGTGCTTGTGACAGTACGTTAAGTTCGGCAATCTTGTTAGCAAGAATGTACTATGAAGCGTGCTTTCATGGTGCGTAATTTAACCAATAGTTTGAACTATCATAACTTAAGTACACAATATGCAGAAAACGTTCTCATCGCACCTTAAGCACAATGATACCATTGATTCGAAGAATGTTCACTCTCCTTCTATGAGCGTACGCGTGAATTTTGTGTACTGCTGAATCTGAAAAAAAAAAAGGGGGGGGGTGAGGGGGGTTGTTATTGCTCAGATCTGTCCAGAGTTGCACTCATTTTGCGAACACGAGAATCGTTTCATAATAAGGTAGACCCACATAAGGTAAAATTACATAAGCCAAGACTCTATACATGGAAGTCATGCTTGCATGAAAAAAAAAAAATCCTTGCATATACATAGCAAATTTCGTTAGTTAGAGGCTATGGTAAACTTTAGCAGTTAAAATAAATCCATAAGTTACCAGATCATTTGTATTGATAGTATTTACTTTTATAGAGTTCTAAATAAATACGGGTTTTCATTAGCCATGGCCATTATTCAAAGAAGTGGGTTCATGTTACCTTCAAGAAGGCAGTTGGCTTCACATGCCGTTTCCTGATGCGCGCTTACTATGTCTTGCTAGTAAGTTGACAGTCAAGTCGTGCCTGTTCTTTTGAATGTGCGCCCGTGCACCGGCAGTAAATCGGGGACATCAAGAACATCCCTTGACGCTGGTGCGTAATCTGTCAGTTCTGCCTCGTCCCCAGAATTTCTATAAAGCTCTTTACTATACTGCCATTTTTAATAATGATAACTGTTGGGGTTTTATATCCCAGTAACCTCAATATGATAATGATGGAAGCTGTACAGGAGGGCTCTAAAAATTTCGTCAACCCAGAGTTCCTTAATGTGCATCTGAATCTAACCACATGGGTCTATCATTTCACTTCCATTGAAATGCAGCCACCTGGACCGAGATTCTATCCCGCAAATTTTGGTTCGACAGTCGATAATGATGATCATATAAACCACGATATGATAATGAGGAACCCTGTAAAGGAGGGCTCCGGAAATTTTGACCACTTGAAGTTCTTTAACGTGCACCTAAATGTATATACACCGGCAGGAATTCAATCCCACGACCTCCGGGTCAGCATTCGAACACCGTAACCACTAGGCCATCGTGGCAGAATGTCATCATCCAAATCTTCAGTTGTGAACTGCCCGAAAATCAATGGACATCTTTTCAAGTAAGTCCTCGAGAGTCACCCTGTCTGACACACTGCAGTACTCGCAGAACAGCTTTTAGGAGTCCACAATTTCTGTGCTGGAATCTAAACACCCTTTGGTCGTTGACATCGTGGCATTGCTCGCTCACCACCAATCACATATGCTCCTATGTGTGGGCCGCCTCGCACCCCACAGCGACGCCAGATGACACGGCAGTGCTTCTTGCGTCTTCGACATATAACAGCAAGCGCAAACTATGTTGCGGTGATTCCCAACTTAAGCTTTTCACACTAAAGGTCATGTACACAGGCAAACTCTGCCTTGGTCAGCATCTTTTCTTTTTTTTAGGTTTTCGCTATGGTTACTAGCCTCAAAGGCGCCGCTTGGATAGCTACATGCTTAAATACCTAGATGCTTAGGTAGCAGAAAATAATCGACACCCTGTGACTAAACTAATTTGTTAAAATAACAAGAGGGAAAAAATGTGAATGTTAATGCTACCAGAACTGGGAAATGAACATGATTTGATTTATTGAGGATTCCATAAGTTAGATATAAATTTTAATGAAGAAAAAAAAGGAAGAAACTGTAATAGATATCATCATATTGTTGCTTCTTCTTACCCAAGAAAAGCGCTATTAAAGCAGAATTTAGCAGAATCGGATCGAATCTATGTCAAATATTACGTCTTTGGGATCTTCCTCTTAGAAAACTGTCACAGCATTATTTGCTCCGCTGCTGACAAAAGTTTAATTGAATAACGACGGTTTTGATATAAGTTGTCAGGTTGGAATTATAAATTGATTTGTATCGATTATTGTAATTTTAAAATATAATTTATTCAAATTATGTATGTCCATTTGTTTTATAGACTATTTATTTCTTGGCTCCTCCAAAGTAGGTTGGTTTATTGGCTGTGTGTTCCCTAGATACTTGGCGAAGCACATTTCGGGGATGTAAAACGAGTCTCGTAGAATTTCGACTGCAGGCTACTTTGCAATAGATCCAACAATGGGCACCTCCCTGTGCATGGTGGCAAGTTCACCAAGGTCCACCTGTTAGGCGAGTTGGTGGCCAATCATCATAACGCCTGCGTAAAGCACGGCACCGAACAATACAAGGCGGATAAAGCACAAAAAAAGGCGAGTTTTTGTGTTTTCTCCGCGTTCTCCCATTCCGTGCGCTGCTTCAGACGAAGGTTTTTTTCATAATAGAGAACCACACTCTGCCGCCCTTCCTTTGCCCTTTCTCTGCCTTTGGTTGTATATATGCTAGCTATTTGTTACCCCCCCCCCTCCTCGCTTGAATTAGGACGGCATTAAAAATAATCAGCTGATCTCTAATGCGGGCGTACGTCCCTTCTTTTTCACCTCCCGCCCCGTTCTCGTCACGCACATCTTCATAGTCGCGCGAAGTACAAATGAACGAAATGTATCGTGTGCGCGTTCATAGGTGTACCGAAAAAGCTATTGTTCTTTATAACTGCGGCAAGGAAATAACAGAATAATTGTGCTGGTTACACCGATACACGATACGCTTGGTAAACAGTGAAGCAATGCACAGCGGCACCGCCGGCGAAACTTCAATGCTTGTGCAACGTTCTTGCTTGCGGCAGTTCAAGCGATACGACCGAAAACATCCGGATTTCATCGATTCATAAAATGTACAGCACAGGAAAAACAGGAAGCACTGGAAAGACAAAAGCGAAGAAAAGACCCCACCTTGTCGACTGTGCCGGCCTTCCTGCGTTGCTGATGCTGTCTGCTGCCGATGGTCATGGTGATTCTCGTGCATAGCAGCGGTGATGAGAGCATTGAGTTAATAGATGAGAGTCAAGGATTTGGCAACAAGACGTAGCGTAAAAAAAAAGACATATTCTAAGATAGAAGCGAATCACACAAAGTGAAACACCAGAAAAAAGTGTAACACCATGAAAACAAAAATAGGTAGCAGTCTGGTAGCAACTTGATGATAACCCGGGCGCGCGCGCGCGCGCGCTTCGTCTTCTTTTTTTGTGGGCTCAAGCACTGCCACGCACCACCGCCGTGGCTGCAGCTTCATCTTTGTACATATCTTCAGCGCTGCATTTTTATCGTTGCAGGTTTTTCGCCGTGGCTGCAGCCTTCGACGGTGGTGAAGCTCATCAAAGGACAACTATGGGCGAACGAGGCGACGAGTTCGACTGGCGAATTACCGATGGGGAGCGACAGTGCATCGATCAACTCGAACAGGCCCCCGATTTGGAGAGCCAGATTCAAGACGAGCGTGACAGATCTTCTCAAAAGATGTGGTTCCTCTTTCAGAGTTCGGCTGCCTACGTAGCCCAGCTGTACAAAGATCGCCACCATGAAGTGTGCCTGTGGAGCCCTTTTCAGAACGCCGCCACGAGCATCACTGACCTCTACAAAGAGTCCCTGGAGACCCACCGTCGGGTGAGTGAACTGGTCTACCAATCAGGCTATCAGCGTTGCACCAAAGACATCCTGGCCTGGGTCAGGAAGCGCAAGAACCACATTCGGCGTGATGAACTACTTTCCTTTCTGTGCGGTATGACACCGCACCGTCTCCAGCACCATGGCTGGACCTCGCCCAGGCCTCGCCAGTCCTACGAGCCCCGTGCGGCGGTCGCTGCGCCGCCGTCATCGATGCTCAGCCTTGCCGCCACAGGGGGGTGCTCGACCACCGTGGGTTTGGGGGACCCCAATGATGTTAACCTGGACACATTCTGTGGGGCACTGGCCTTTTCGTCAGCTCTGTCTTCAGGCCAAGGCCACAGCGGAGACAGCACGTCGCCGCCCGAATTCCGCACTGCGGCCAGCCTGAGCATCTTCACCTCCGAAGAATGCGCTCGTCAGCTTGAGACACGCAAGCGGAGTGCTCCGGAAAACACTACTTCCGAAGATGTTGTAATGGACTCGCCGACGCCCAAACGGTCGCGCCTCATCTGAGTTCTCGTTCCCTCACCATGCCGCCGAAATAGCCGATTCCCTACCACCACCGTGTCTCGTCGAAAGCTTCACACCGATCCCTGCAATTGCAAGGAGTCAGAAACGTTCTACCTAGAAAGAAAACAAGGAAACATTAGACATGAAAGATCTCGTGGGCGTCGCTTGTCGTCTGCAGCAAGGCTTGGTTGTATAGACCCGAAGTGTTGGGCTAGGTGTTAGACGCAAGGGCAGATGACCGAAGAGGTGGTTTATCTTCGACAAAACTGATGTGTGGATTGCCTAACTTCAAGAACTTTGGCAGTTCTCGTAAAAAGTGTTTCATGCGCCCTCCGCAGCCGCTACGTGCGGTGACTTTCAACTAGCGTGAGAACAGATGACTGGCAACAGGAACTCAGAGCGGACTCATACTTTCTGCAAGCTGTTTAGTAGATTGTAGTGCTTACTGCGATTTGCATGCAGTTGCGATAAGGGAGTATACCTGCCCTGCCAATGAATTCCACGTCACGTGCGCATAGTCGCGCCTGCTCTATTAAACTTTCGGCAAAATGAAGTTGCGACGAAGATTAGGTGAGCTGCTGGCTGAGACGATCGTACGCCGGGCTATGTCACTTGGTCCTGCAATCGGTGGCCGTTGCCTATGGTCCATGCCACATGCAGCGAGATTCGTTTTTTTTTTTTTTCTTCACAATACGCGTTCACTCAACGCCTGTTGGCAGATCGCGTATTGTTTGGGCTGTGGCCGTGTGTGCAGAGTTAAAAAAAAATGCCTGTGGTGACGAGATTTATGTGTCTGCGTCAGTTTGGCTTATTAGCATGCTCATTTCTCGACTAAGCCCATGGCGAAGCTTATTGAGTTTTCTGTGATCTTCACTCTACGAATATGATGCTGTGATATTTGGTATGCAGTCGAGCGACTTGGTGAATAAAGTTTGTTGACTGACTTACTGGCTGAGCGTCTTGGTTGATAAGCGGATGTGACCGTGGATACACACCGAGATAGTTCGATTACTCCATGCAGTTCTGTATGACCAGAAAGCTAGGCAATTTATACCTGTTCATTTAGGCATTACTTTTACGTAGCTTATGTCCTATTAACCCATTAGGTACCGGTTGTTTTATCAGTATCGTGAAAACATGCGATTTTTAATCGTATCTGTGTCTGCATAGATTATACTGAAAATTTCATTGTGAATGAGCTTTTAGTTTACAATATATGACCCTTGACCGTATGGTAACGCTGGGCTCTTAGGCTACAGCAAAAATAGAAAAACGTTAAAAGACCCTTGACACCAAATTTGGAAACGAAAGATGCTTGTGTTGTTTCATAATCCTGCATACGGGGCCACCTCTGACCGATTATTAGGGGCGAGCGTAGCCTAGAATATATTTGTGTTTTAAAGGGCCACTCACCAGGTTTGACAATTTTGAGCTGACAAGCGCAATGCGTAGACGAGGCGTTCATGAGCACGTCTGCCAAAATTTGCAACGCTACGCGCCGCGGAAATGGGTCAAATTTCAAGATGAAAGCTGCTCGCCCCCCCCCCCCCCCTCTACCTGCGCACGCGTAGAGAATGAGGGCATGACGTGTGCGTAGGAATGGCCCTACGTACACAGCACTGCGGTCACGTTGGTTCTCTACGTAGACGACTCTGCTCTGACGTTGTCAACAGTATACCACGTGACATAGCAAAAATTATTTAGCACAATATGCGTAGTTTATGTATTTGTTGCTTTAAGAGATGAGTAAAACTTGAAATAAATAATGAGACGCAATAAAAAATTGTTCACGTTTTTCTTACATTTTTTCCCGTGAAATGCTACGAGATGCGGTGCTAATGTGCCAGCGTTTCACATGCGTTCGGGTTCCTATGTTCAGCGCATTGAGCAAACGACCGCCGTGGAACGCTCCTACGCGTTCGCGCACTCATTGTGCTCATTTACTCTACCGCGTCTATAATTATACCCCTGTCACACGGGCACCCCGCGAAGACCGTTTAACTCCCTCGTCCTTACGACAACGAAGATGCGGTCCGTGTCACACGGCCACCCTTACCCAAACGAAGGTAAACAGAGCGTTTCGCAAAGGACGTTCAACGATCTCCCTTCGCAGCGAAACGAGGTACTCTTGTCCCCAGCAGTCTAGAGGTCAGAGAAAAATTTCGAGCACTAAGTGGCCGCAGTGAAAGAATAATACATTTTGGCAGTATTAAACGTTCTTTCGTTGTAGTACTCATTCACAACGCGTGTTTGTTTACATATATTTACGCCCGCCAAAGTTCACTTACTCTCAACACTGATGCTCTACACTCCGTGGTGCCTCGCGACTCGCGAGTCGGGCCGGCCGGTGCCATTGAAAAATATTTTGTCCATGCGTGTGGTTGTGGTCGTCGCTGTGCCACTCATGGCTGAAGAACACAAAATGTGCGCTCACGAGGCAAGGAAGCACAAAAACTTTCGTACACAAACATGAACACAGGCAACAAAACAACTAAAAGCACAATGTGGCCAGCGTCACTAGCAGTATCGCTACATTTAGCGAATTTGTTTTTATTTGAAAATATTTTCATGGTTTGTTAGCCTCTTACCTCCTTAATAGTGTTTTTTTTGTAAAAACCCCAGAACGAGGATTCACAAAAAAATCAATAGAGATGAAATTAGAATACTTTTTCGAAAATCAAACAGCGCCAGCTGAGCCCCCTCGCGCCAACTGTTACAACCTTTTCATTGCCGTGTGACACTCAGTGGCCACAACTCCTTCTCCGTCGAACCACCTAGGGGAGATATACGTTGATGGTGTTCAACGGAGTTTAGTGGTGGCCGTGTGACAATCCCGCAGAAACAGGCAGAAGACCACAAAATAACGCTGGTCAACAAAGCAACGCCGCTGGCGTGCACGGGGGCTGGGCTTGTTCGGGCACGTCATGCGAACGTCACCTCTTGGTCGGATCAACGCCGACTAAATTTCAAGGCCGAAAGGCTGCCGCAGTGACGTCAGAGGGTGGGGGCCCAGTTACGCCGCGAACGCGGCGGAAAGCCTGTGTTTCGTTCACGTTTTAGGAGAACCAACGCTCCCGCTCTCGCAGCTGCTGCGGCTTGATTGGGCCGAATAAAATATGTGGAAAAAAAAGCCTTACTGAGCATGCTCAGTAGCGCAACTGGGCCCCCAACCTCTGACGTCACTGCGGCAGCCTTTCGGCCTTGAAATTTAGTCGGCGTTGGTCGGATGCCGGAGAGGGTGGGGAAGGGGTTTGGCTTGCGAAGGCTACGCGGAGGAGGAAGAGGAGAAAAACTTTATTCATCCCAAGAGGGAAGGAAAGGTGTGGTAATGAAGTGTCAGAGGAGCCTACCCAGCGTAGGTCTCCGCTACCCTCTTGGCCCAATCCGAAATCTGGTCCTGGACCTCGGGCGCCGAGCTGCACATAGCAGCCTCCCACTGCTCCTTACTATTAATGTGTAGAGAATTGGGTGGTGGGTTTCGAGTACCCCCCCACATGATATGGTCTAGGTTAGCTCTTTGTTGACAGAAAATGCACAAAGGGGAGGGGTATGAGGAGGAGCGGCAAGGGTTTCGACTCATCCCCTCTCACCCTCGTTTCGCACCGCTTCAAAAAACCTGTTTTCTCCGCTCGTAATGAACCGATTCCAGAAATTTTTGTGGCTAAACGTTCCTCATCGAACACTCAACAACTTCCACTGTCTAACTAAAATTCGGTATGGGGCCTGGGGAGTGGCCCTTTAAAGTAAGGGTGCATACTCTTCCTAGTATTCAGGTGCAGTCGACATTTTCTGTGGTGTCACGTAGACAGGGACTCCCCTTGCAGGGCCGCCTGATCTCCCCCTTTGGTGCGACCCGCCGAATGCTCATTTTCGCCTCTGAGCATGGCCTCCGAGAACGTGGGAGCGCGGCGGGTTTCTCTCCGGCCGTCCGAATAGCACGGAGAGAGCGTGTTCCCAGAGGTGGGCATGGCCCGCTCTTCGCACCATGGCCTATCATGGCGCTTCTTCATTTGGTCAAAAAGGCTGCCGCGCTGTTGGCGAAGCTTGCATGCGGCAGGGTAAAAAAGGCTTTTGCGTTTTTATATAACTTCGTGCTCATTTGGGAATGTCAATCCAAGGTGTCCGAGAAGCGAAGTTAATGCTTGGCCGTATAAATTCTCAAATCGACTTTTTTTTTTTTTTTGCTGTAGATTTGCACCGCCCATAGTTGCGTTGCCTCTGCTAGATATCCGGATGTGCTGGAAACTTACTGTACTTCGAAGTTTTCCGGCTGTATAGTAGGGAGGGCACTGGCAAAGAAAAAAAAAATGACGGCGCAATCAACAAGCGAAGTGAGAAGAGTGCCACGCTCTGTGCTCATGAGTTACACTCGATTAAAAGGGTTGTTTTTTTTCTTTCCTTTCGTGGAACCACCGCTGCTTTTCATTATAACGTCATTTAAAGAATCCTCTCGCCGAGCCGCAGAAGCAGGATACAGGGAGGAGGGTGCAGGCGGTTGCCATGCATCTATACTATGTCGACTGAACGTCACCGGTTCTGCGACGACCACGGGCTGGTTACAGGCACGTTTTGGTCCCTTATGGGCACCACTTTGCAATGTGAATTTCACGGTATTCAATAGATACGTTGGGCTATCTAAGAATGAACATCGTAATGTTTTGCTTGTTTAAGAAGTACGCAACACGCGTTCAGATTTCAATGTACCTGGTAAGAAACACTGCCGTGTTACACATCAGTGACAATTTTCACTTTTTTCTCTGGTAGTCAACCTCGGCTACTACTTAGTTTCCATTAGAAAGACACCGTTGTTCTACATGTTCGACCCTCTGATTTGGATGCAGTCGAGAGTACTGATATTGCTATTGTGTTACCAAAACATAATCAAAGTTCAGATGATGCAAGAACAGACGATCATAATTTAGGCACTTTAACTGTTAAAACGTGGGTAGTGAATGTAGGTCAGCCAATCAAAGCCTTCTGCAATAATCTGGCAAAATTACTTC